TATATATATATATATATAGTAATCTCTTTGTATAAATACTCGTATAGCAGTGCCGGCGTTAGACACGGGCAAACCGGGCGATCGCGCGGAGTCCCCGAAGTCAAGAGGCCTGATGATGAAAAAGTTGGTAAAAGTAAAAATTTAAAAAGAAATTAGTACTGGAAAACCGTTATCGTAATTTTTTATATGTCGCTCTACAGTAGTGTGATATTTCATAAAAATTTCAATTAATTTTGTACCTTAAATAGTTGGTTTATAATAATTACTTATGTTTTTTTTTTGGGGGGGGGCTACGTTTCGGCATTGCCCAGGGTCCACAATTGTCAAGCTACGGTCCTGCTCTCCTGTCCAACGTTCCTGACAGCTTCACAGGCCGCCACGCGTTGATGTTTCCTCGCGTGAGAAAAGCAGCACAGCCCCGTGCGCGGTGCGGCGGCGGCAGCAGTCGGGCGAGGGGCGGGCCGGCGACGGCCGGCGAGCAGCTGTCAGACGGTCGCGGCTGCGCCCGGAGGCGCCGTGGGCGCGTGATCATCGCCCGCCGCCGCCGCACCTCGTGCACCACTCGCGTGCCCGAGAACCCAGCCACCCGCCCCCGCTGCGGACCGGAGCGGCGCGGCGCGCACACCCTCCTGCCTCTATTGTACGGCCCACGACGGCGGGCCGCAGGGCGTCGCCTTGCCACGGACAACCGGCACAATGGGCCTGGCGCGGAGGTCGCGCGATCCTTCGGGCTCGAGGTCACTTGCCCCGCGCGTGTTGTGTTTACTCGTGGAATCGGGGAGGTTGACAACGCTCCGGTTGGGTGTCGCACAGAAAGAGAAAAAGAGAGGGCTATGCTGTAGTTTTTAGAACGTTAAATGTAGTTCGCATGTGCATAATTAAAAGGAATTACAGAATCTTACATTGTGCCTCATTCATAAATAATCAAATTTTCAAACACCTCAAATCTCCAGAATAACAGCACAAATGTGACATACTCTTGTTTCAAAATAACACTAAAAAATCACTAACGTAGCAAAAAGTTGTACCTTGAGTACTTATCACAAAACAATTCCGGTGAGGTCTTGTCAAAATCAATCCTCTGAAGGCAAAAGAAAACAAAACAAACACGATTTTCTCGCGAACGCGTGAACATAACCATCACTGTGGCGCACTTCGGCAAGTATTTCACATGTTTGTCATCATTTCATTGATAACATCTGCACACTCACCTTAACTTTATCACAATATCTTCCTATGCCAAGGGCTAGACGTGCTGGGAATGGTCCAACCTTTTAAAACACAATAGCATGAATAAATACGAGGCAATTGCCTCCAGGCCACGACGCTCCCACGTTTTGTTCACATGAATCACATAACAGAATATAATGTCTACACAACACCGTCCACTGAACTAGTAAGTACGAGTTCAAAAAGCGCACAAAACAATACCGTAAATAGAGCCTCACGAGAAAAACGCTCCGAGACTTGCATACGTGAGTATCGAAAAGTAATCGATATCAGACTACAGTGACGGAAGTGACGTAATGTTGTGCTTGACGTACTGCCCTCTGTAGAGAATAATAGTAACTAAGTAACAAGAGACTAGCAGATCAACTGTGGGGAATTTCGAAAACGTGTATTTCTTTCATGATTTGTGTTCTATAAGGTCAGAAGTCGTAATATGAATATTGTTTTATAATAGTGCTAGTTACGATAGTTTTTAATTTATTCTGTTTGGCTTCGTAACCTCGCAATTGATTACGCATGCCGATGTTTATTCGTAAACTTACCATTGAATTTTGCATAACAAATTCTACTGCGAAGGAGTATGTATATTTTTACACCAAAGTTTGAAAATTCCTTACCACAAAAGGTTTACACAGTAACAATGCAAGCAATAGGAAGCTAAATTTTTATTGTAGAGTCAGCCTTTTACATGTCATTTGTAGCACAATAGAAATATATTCATATTACTTTCTTTATACATAACAATTCTACACTTCATCAAATGAATAGCAACATTTACTCTAAAATTAGCACTGGTATATTGTTTCTACAATAATATGTAGTATCAAATTCATTAACATAAATGACTAGTGTTTAAATTTCAGTAACTTTAAGTTTTAGTATAGTCAAAATAATAATCTATATTGGATTAGTGAACATAAAATACAAATGTACAAACATTATTAATTGACAATCTTAAACCCAATGTAAAAGAGAAAAAAAATTGTCTCAAAAGAATGTTTCCAAAAAAATTACTCACAATTGCATAACTTTGAATATTTAATGAGACTAGAATTGTAACAGAAACACTTTATCAAAATCTATGTTTTGCAATAATTACTTCTATCTCATGTCATGTAACACATTTTATGAAGTTACATTTAATGGCAATAGATTAAATAATCATTACACATAAAAAAAACTACTTATCCCATTAAGTATTAATTTAGGTAACATTTTCTCAATGATTTTCAACAAAAGTTTACACAACTCAAAATAATTTTTAAATCTTTGAAAATAAAAAAAAATATTTTTGGAAAACATACATTAAAAATTCTAGTTATAAACATCACTTAATTTCAGTCTTAACACAATTTTTTTTTTAAAAGATTATCTGAATCACACTTCATTCATTCAATATTCCCAAAATACCATCATACTAAGAAAAATACATTGTACCTTACATCTTTGAGGTAACAAATACCTTTGAGCTCCACTATAATTATTTAATAATTAAAGCCTTAACTGTTATAATATGTTATAATAGAACAGACTAAAAGATTTTGGTTTTCCATTACATTTCAATCTTTTATAGAGAATTTTGTAAGGTATATCTATAATTATTACAATAAACATTACATAAAAAACAACTCAATATAGAGGACAGATTTTTATGATAAAAATCCCAATAAGGATTGACAGGTGGAAAAATGAAATCTTTAGCCTGTTAAATTTAGTCAAGGAAGCCAGTTTTACCTAAAAAGTTACTTTCTGGCTAGCAGTGAATCAACAACATTTCAAAAATTGTATATACAGAACATATTGATAGAAATATGTTGATTGTCTTTAAATGTAACAAGAACTGTGCAACAATTAATTCAGAACTTCAATGACAGAAAAACAACAATCTTTACCCCATCATTTAGAGTAGGGTTGCTATAAAATAAGCAATATTAAAAATGTAATTGCAGTAAAATTGGAAATTAACACCAATATTTCATTAATTCACAGGCACATTTCCTCATCAACACCTTCAAAAGTAGGATTTGGCTGCTTTGAAGTACCGGAAGCCTTCACAGTCTTTGATCCTTGAGCTGAAAACACAACATTTATGTTAATGACTTAATAAAAGATATACATTTTAAAATTTCAGAGATCTACCCCCCCCACCCCCCTATTATTTCATTGAAGATTTGGATGTCCTCCATGAAAATTTCAAACATGAGCAATAAAAAGTTCAAACAAGCAACATGTAATACACCTACAATACTTTAATATAATAAATATGACAATAAATATTTGTGCAGGTTTAATAGGACAAGAGAATATTTATATTGAAGCGGGTGAGGAAGGCATCAACTTGTTCCAATATAACTGAAATCACAAAAACACAAAGAACGCAAGGATTAAGGTTCTATGTTTAATTGCTTGAAGGGGAAGAGGTTAGTGTTTTGTCCCTTTATACTAATAAAACACTAAAAAAGAGGTCATCAAACAAATCAATCTCATGACATGAAATCATTACAATAAAAACAATAATTATGAATTGAAACTGTAAACCAACAATTCAAATAGTATATGCCTATTTTAAATGGTAAAAGAGTTAAACAGATGATGTCAAGGAATAAAATAATAAGAGAAACACTTTTTAAAAGTTAAAAATAAATTATCATTAAAATATTCTGTAGTGAACAATTTTAAGAACTAGGTATTAATGAGAATATATTTTTTTTATTTCTTACCTACAACAGAACAAATCTCCACATTGGCATTAATTTTTACAAGAAAATCCAACCATAACTTTTGATTGGTGCTCAGTGTGTCATTAGGACCTTTAACCTCCACAAACTTGTACTGTAACATACCAAATTCAGTGACTCACTTCAAAAAATCAAAATACCATAAAATACTAATTTATTGACTCTAATCGTATTACAACCATATTAATACAACAACAACAAGGTCGCTTAATAATTATGCATGGTTTTCATAACAGGTAGATTCTGGATAATTTGTTTTTATTACAAGTTACTAATGAATTAGTATAAACTGTCAGGGCAAAGAGACTTAGAAAGATCACATAAGAAACAGATCAGGAATATTAGGAGAACTAAAAACCCACCAGGTCTACTGGGAAAGAGGAACGGGCAACAGGCCTAGCAACCTGCAGAATATAATGAGGAGCATTATAATAATTTTGGGATTTTTTTTTTTTTTTGAGTTTACTCCATTTATTTACATTAATTATTGGTACAAATAATGTGTTCTTAATTTTTTTATGTGGGGGAACATTTACCTTATTTTTTTCACCTGGCGACCACAAACACAAATCTGGAAAACCACTGCGCACACCACGATACTTTTTGGCATACCTCTCACATATTTTTGAAAGAACTTGCACACCAATGCAGTTAATAATATTCTGAAAAAAAATAGTCAATTTATCATATCATATTAAGAAGTAAAAAATGTATATAAACTACAAGAAAGAGACACGAACACAGAAGGGATGTTTTCACGAAATTAGATATATATCCACAATATTTTAATTGGGCAATTTCACATTTATTCACATTTACTATTTAAATTTATGCATTATGAATGTATAAGTAAATAATAATCATAATAATAATAATATATGAACAGGAAAAATAAGTTAATTACCACAATATCTGCAGAACTGCTGAACCATTTCCAATATACAACAGATGATTTTCCACAATTTTTATCATAAACGTCTGTCACCCATGAAGATACATCATTGTCTGTCCATTCTGATATCTTAGCCAATTTAGTATCAATGGCAGCCTGCCTATTCTTATAAAATTCTCCTGTGCTTAAATCAAGAGGTCTTGTTTGATATGGACTAATGAATGCACATGGAACATGACACTCATAAATAATATCCCAAAACAAAATTCCAAACAGTGATGATACTAAACTGTTCTCAGCATGAATTCCTGAAATATACATTCACTATATTAAAGAGTACCAAATAAACAGGATATAAAAAGAATAATATCTGGGATATTCTAACCCTGTTTAAAATTTCTGGGACAGTAATGACTTTTAACAAGTTCTTCAACAGATGAAAACTTTTTACCATCTCCTGTTTCATCATCTTGAATATAAACTCTCTTATAACCAGATTTTCTGTGAATAAATCAAAAAAGTAATAATTAGCAAAAATTTTAGTTTTGTTTGCTAGTAGTTTTACTGTGTACTTTTAGGTAATTTACTAATTTTCTTGTGGATTTAATAATAAAATTATTATATAATTACACAAAGAAATGAACAACTCTTTCTACACATGTCAACCTTGGAAGAACTTCAAATAAACGTATGTTCTGAAGAAGTCATTTAAATCTGGGGCCAAGATACTCGCATACAGATAAACTTGGATAAGTTCATGAAGTAAAGGATCATGTACAAATTTGTTAGATAAACTTAGAGTAAACCTATAATAGAATACACTGTAGAAATGCACATTATTGAACACAATATAAGTGAATGAACATGTTAACTGCAGTCACAGATTGACATCTAAAAAAGAGAGGTAATAATAAACAATGTTTGAAACGCAAGTTCGATGATTTTCAAATTTGGGAAGCCTCAATATTCCTACAATAAATGATAGCATTTCCTGGTCAATATGCCAACTCAGTATTACTGCAGCAACTAATGTATGCACTTATGTGTTCTGTTTACCATTGAATTATTATGTGTTTTTTTTTCTTCCAAAGACTGTCATGGTGGGACAAGTCTATTGTTATACAAAGTACTATAAACTTTTATTGATAGAGATATTTACAAAAGAAATCATATTAGTCACAACCAAATGGTTACCATACCCATCAAGTGCACATGCTCTTATTTCAATTCGATCCACATACTCCAGTTCAGGAAACAGAGGTACATCATTAAGCATTAATTTTATTTCCTGATCAACACCCTTGAATTTCTTCCTCATTAATTCCCTGCTCCGACATGACATCACATAGGAACCTTGATCATCCATGTGAGGATCTCTCATTCCAGCACAAATTGCTTTGGCAACCTAAAATATCAAATACTTTGTTTATATTCTTCATTCATTCAATTTCTTATAATAAAAGTACAGGTTTGTAACAATTTTCTTTTATTAATATTTCAAAAATATAATGTAATAAAAAATACTAAAATTGTCTTTACATAGTAGTAAAGCTTAGATCATAAAACCTACTCTTCCACCTGATCACAACAACACATTAATAAAACAAATTGAAGGAACTATTCTGAAAAGCCAACAAAACTAAAACAAGATACTACATAATCTTCCATCATAAAGTCATGATGTTTTCTCTTTTCTTTTGAAATGCTATATCTACAAAGTAGAGTGCAAAGCAAGTATAATACAAAAAGTAATCACATTAGACCGAGGCAGGTTTTGTGCTATTTAATGAGCCAAAGAACCTTCCTCTGCCTCACATGAGTGTTTATAGTCTAGATATGTTTATAGGGAGTGGTCAGAGTATAAGAAATTTTTCGATACTTTCTCCAAGTCACGTTTTAAATATAATAAAAAGTAAGTAAAGTAACAAAATTAATTAATCTGGTGAGATTATAACCAGCAACATCATGTTCTTATAACCGTCAATGTTACTTACACTCAATAGCAAACAGGATTGTAATACAATATTTCATCCAATCTGTCCATTTTTAAATTACGTGCATTGTGGGAGATGAAATATACATACATCCACCCATCTATGAAAAACACCTCTTCTAGGTCAAAAGCTGCTTTTTCACTCAATTACATCTTAAGTCTATTGTTTCAGAACATGTTAGAACAATTTGACAATTAGGCATTATATTTGAATAAAGAATATCATTTTTGAAACACACAAATTACAGCTAATCGGAAGTTCGGATTTATTAGACATACAGTCTGGTTATAGTGAACTTCTGTGGACCATCATTTTTGGTTCACAGTATTTGAGTGATCAAAATTAAATACAATTTCTCCGTAACAATTGATTTTATTAATATAGATACACCAAAATGCATTGACAGAACGAACTGAACACTTCAATATCTTTAATTGTCCTTAAAAAATCAATTATTTTGAATTGTACTTTTTCATTAGAAATTTCTTTAGATCCTTTTTCAGTTAGTGCTCTCTCCACACTTTATTCTCATTGTCCACTGTGTCTAAGTGTCATAATGCTGTTTTGACATCCTTCAATGCACTGCTGGAACACCGTCCCACTCCCCAAAAGCCCTTTTACTCGTCTAATAACATACGAGATGCTAACGGTAGCGGGATGGTAAAACTGATCGCTTGTCCGTGCGGACATCGCCAGGCTGTGACAGTCGCGTGCTTTCTGTCCCCTACGTAGAACTCTACGCGCGGAACACCAAGATTGAAACTGAAGCAAGCACACGCGCGTAACCGCCGCCAGTTGTATCTTACGCAGGACATGGCCTTTGTTTCCGCAGTTAAACCGAGTGGCAAAAGGTCATCAGTAAGGTCGCCATTCCGTGTCCGTTACCTTCACCTCAGGGGAGACTCTTTCGATTATGGCTTTTGGCCGATGTTTTTTCTCAAGCTGCCTAGTGTTGGAATTTGCGATATTGGGGGGATATATTCCTTTCCACGAAGGAATTAATTTCCCGCACATTTCTTACGTTCACTACAGCCAGAGCCGGGCAGTATCGAAAATTCACATTTGAAAATGTATTTTGTATTTTTAAAATACAAAAATACTTTGTATTGACTGCCATTGAAAATTTGAATTTAAATATACAAACCTGGAAAACACAAACACCAATAACACGAATTTTTGATATTTCACAGCAATTTTTCATTTCCTGCAGCAGTAATTAAAATACGTTTTTGATAACACAAAATTTTGGTTAATCAAATAAAATTTATTACCAGAGACACTTGGTGAAATCGAATAATGGATTTTGGAGACCACTTTACCGACGTTATATTATTTTGTCACATTATGCATTTCCACCCATCTAGGTGATTGTGCACGCTGGTTAAAGGCTTGTACTTGCGCCATGTGAAGAATTAATCTTATGAATGTGGAAATTGATAAATCATCAAAATGTCCTATTCTAGATTGAACATACGAGTAGTTCACTATTATTGAAGAGTTAGGTTTCCACAATGCGACTACAAATTTCAAGACACTTAAAGCTAAAAATAATAAACAGTAATTTTGAAAATTTAAATGAACACAATGGTGTACAATGAACTATGAATTTCACTGGTCATTCTTTTTACTAGGGAACTGATATATTATTATAACAATATTTCCTTAAAAAAGGAAATTTTGTTAATCTTGATGCGAAATTCGATGTTAGTGGAATGAGACCTTTATCAATTGCAATAACAAGATGAAACATTAGTGATACAATGTTTGAAGAGATAGTAGTGTTAAAGGGAAATGTGTCCAATTATACACAATTACAAATCACAACCAAGTTTTAAGAAATAAATTGTGAAAGTGGATCACTACTGATTGTAGTTTGTATTTTCGAAATTATTTTAAAATACTATCTTGTATCTAAAATACTTTTAATGAAGTATTTTGTATCTGAAATACTTTTTTCAAGTATTTTGCCCAACTCTGACTGTAGCCGAGGTTCAGGTTCACTATAACCGAATCTTCTTATGCTTATTTGTAACGGAACCAGTGTGAAACAGGAAGTGGCTAAGTTCACTATAACCCAGGGTTCACTAAATCCGAGTTCACTCTAACCAGGGCCAATGTATTTGTAATAAATTTAATTTTATCCATACATTGAAACTTCTCTATATGATGCTTGTATGGTCATTTTCGATGATCTTACAAGCAACAGTCTGGTCTTTCAAAAATGCACAAAAGAATTGGAAATTATCCTAAACAAATTCTTCAGAATGGTAACTACTCATCTGGGACTGCTACATCCATTCATTGACCATAATTATAATGTTACAGCAACAACCTTCATAATCCCAACACATGTCATGCCAACATGTAAATAAATAGATTTATTTGAACCACAAATAGGTACAACCTGGTTTCTGTTTTGGTTTCATTTTCTTCAGGCAGTAAGTCTCACAAATGTCATTACTAGAGAACAGAATTTATCATAATAAACCAGAAAATGTGTACTAACATATGTATTTATGTTTTCAAAAATATATAAGAAAAAATAAAAAATATGTAAAATGAAAATGGTTTAAAAGATATTTTTGAAAATTTCTAAATATAAAAGGAATGCAAGAAGACCTTCTAATGTGTTCAGAGTGACTGAACAAACATTCTACATCTACAGAAGTAACTGAACAGTATTCCTATACAATGAGAAGTAATACAAAACATAAAAATGTATGTAAAATATACAATGTTTACATTGTCAGATTTACTGCATATTCAGTGACAATTCAGGTGGGAGGAGAACAAACATTCAATCACAATCCAACATTACTTATGCTGTGTCTGCAGCATTGTTGACTGGGAGGTCCGAAGATTCAAGTCCCAAAGGTGGCAGATTATTGTCACTAGCTGTGAGTACACAAAGCTTGAGGGAATTCAAGCAATCTGATCGATAGTTTTTCAAGACTTCTCTGACCAAAATAAGGTGAATGTCCTGCCTTACTACAGACCATGAAGAATCTTGCCATCCTTATCCTGATTTCCATCCTCTTTTCTCCCACATACACATTCACAGCTGCACCACACTACATATTGGGAGACCAGTTGGGAGCTCAAGAGCTTGTCATGGATGGGGTGGTGCCTCACTGAGGGTCCAGAGGGGGACCTAACCCACAAGCTGACATAAAGATCAGCACTGGATCCCATTTTGCAGTAGGGAAGGAGTATAAACACTTACCAGGATATAATACATTCTACATTTATAACGATAAAAGAATTTAATGTGCCCGGAAATGATACTCTCTCACTCAAATTGGACAGAAATTGAACTCAACTTAGTGAAAACAGTGCCACCTATTGACAGAATCACATTTCAATGAAGTAATTACATTAAGCTTGAGCAAGCAGGATTTCTTCATTAAGGTTCAAATTCCGCAACCCTGTCAGAGGAGTGTATTTCTTGGCTGAAGTTCAGGAAGGGTAATAATTCAATGACCTCTATGGAATGTCTGTCAGATGTTGAGTCTATGGGTTCTGTGAAATACAAGATAGCACAAGGATGAAATTACTTCTCTTTGCTGTTAATCCTAGATTCAAAGATCACAATTTCTGAGATGTAGGAAGTAGTCTGTTTGACAATTCACAGCGTTGGTCCAGAGGTCATTAAAGCACAGTATTTATTTGCATGCCCTTAAAAAAGATATTCTGTTTTGACATGTAAGAATATTAAAAAGTATCAAAATATGTAAGAAATGTGTTGAAATAACTCAAATACATAAAAATGTGTAATTATACCAAAATATGTCAAATAAAAATGGTTTTAATTCATTCGAAATACCAGGCAAACTCCAAAGAAAGTTACTCCATGAAGGTATCTAGAAATTGTAAAAATATATAGTCGACTCTGGTTACAGAGAACTTGGATATAGTGAACCCTCAGTTATAGTAAACTTAAGTCACTGGTCCCATTTCATTTACATTACAAATAAGCATAAGAAGTTTCGGTTCGAGTGAATCTGATCTTCGGCCATAGTGAATGTAGGAAATACAACATCCTCGAAATTCCTTCCTGGAAACAAAGTGGAAATTCCTGTAAATTTGTGGTCTTAGTGCCACAAATTCCAACACCAGGAAGCTCAAAAAACAAATTTTTGGTGAAAGATCGTAATGGAAAGAGTCTCCCATGAAGTGAAGGTAGCAGAATTGGAATAGAGACATTATTGGTAGTCTCATGTAACAAAGTTTCACTACGGAAACAAAGCCCATGTCCTGCATGGGCTATATATGGTGGCGGCTACACACGATTGCTAGCTTCATTTTCAAGCTTGGTGTTGTATTCCACGGGACAAAGCATGTTGTGTTCTACATAAGCGACAGGAAGCGTACTACTGCCACAGCCCCACAGCCTGGCGACACCTGGTGCAGGGAGACATTGAAGGGTGTCCAGACTGCGTTATCGTACTTAGTCAGAGGATAATGCAGAATCAAGTAAGGAGAGAGCACAAACTATGAAAAGGATCTACTGAAAATACTAATGAAAAATGTACAAAGCAGAAATTGAAAATAATTGAATTTTTAAGGACAAACAAAACTATTGAAATTTTCAGTTCATGCAGCTAATGTATTTTTAATATTTATAAAATCAATCATTGTGGAAAAATTCTATTTAATTTGCAGATATACTGACATTATTGGATATACTGAACCAAAAATGTTAGTCCTCAGAAGTTCACTACTATTCTTACTTTGATACTTAAGTTTTGCAAGCATTTCTCTTAATTACTAGACAAAAATGCTGACATCGAAATGAAAGTTGAGCAATTGTAATTTTCAAAAATTCTGAGGTAACCATAAGTCACCATACCTAAAAATTTAACAAATTTTATTAAGAAAAAAAAAAAACCCTCTGTTCACTGGAGCATAAACTCCAATTATAAAAATGTTGGCAAGATCAGGACATGCTATTCTCTCATCAATTGCTTTGCAGATATGAATATTGTTCTCCTATCTTTTATGTGTAGCTATAGACACCCATGCTCTTGCTCATTTTTTTTCCACTCCACTAAAAAAATGTACTTAATTTCCTTTCCTTTCCATTTTTCTCCTTTTTTTGTTTCACTCAACACTATGATATCAATGTTAAACTCCTCTATTTCATTAAAAACTTTATTTGCTGTAGTGCTTAAACCTGGAACATTCCAGCACCCCAAGTTCATAAACAGTTTTCCTTGCCTACGTCTCATCAGGAGTTTATCCAAAGGTCATTTCCATTGAGGTTTTGAATGTGTGGGTGTGTTTGTTTCTTTTCTTTCTTTCTCTCTCTCTTTTTTTTTTCCCCCCATGCCTCAACTCCCTTCCAGGAGGACCTGGTAATTTTCGTTTTGGGGATTTCTTCCCTTAAGTGGAGTGTCTTTCAGGACTCTGGAGTTTAATCTACTCCTATCCCCTATCAATTTTCATAAAAATCTGAACAATTTAGATCTAGTGTACTTCAAAACCAGAGAGACAAGGACAAACGAATTGCCCTAAATAATTTTTTTCAGGACCAAAGGCTCAATGTGGATTTTGACTAAACAATGTATTAGAGAAAATAATTTACTACACATAGAAGCAAAAATTATCCAATTTTTTGATATGGGGGCTTAATATATGAGATTTTCTGTCAAAAAATTATTATTTATCACTCCAGCATTATATTATATTCTCAATACCATGTTGTTATAATAGAAGTAGTTACAGTAATGAACTACAATGATATACAGATATGATGAATTAATAATTTAATATGTTGAAGTATATAGGAGATTCATTAAATACCTCCTTGTGTTGACCAGCTGTACGATGGAGTATTATGAGTTTCTCATACCATCGCCCTCGCATGTAAGGAAGGAATGTAGTTTGATCCAACAGAAGGAGAAGATCATCAATAGCTTTCTCCTTTTTTTTCAGTTTCTTCAACATATCAACACCTTCAGTCAACACGTAAGCATACACAGTGCCTGGAGTGAACTTCCGCAAAGATAATGGAAGGTTACTGGGAAAGTTTCTGTTAAAAGCAGTAACAAAAAATATTATAGAATTATACTCATTTTTAAAGTAATCTATCTTTTATGCAAACTACAAACATACAAACTTTAGCAAATATACATAATTTTATATTTCAATTATGTAAGCAATTATGTAAATGTAGCAATAAAGATTGGAAAGAAAGTAAAAAATGGTAGATAGTAGTGTTTCTAATATAGAATTTAAAGTTAAAGAATCAGTAACTTTCTTTAACCTTTAATTTATATTACAATTTCAAGCTTACCGAGGTGAATCATCAAACTCAGAAATAAAATCAAATTCAGATATGAAATTACTTCTTATGGTACTTAGAAGTGCCTCGGCTTTTTTAAAATCTTTAATGCCTACTGCTGCTGAAAACTCTGTTTGCAAATCTACTGCAGTTTGAAACCTAAAAAAAGAAAATGTACAATAATAAAACCCAACTATAAGAATATACAGAAACATTATGGTATATACATTAGTATTCTTGGAAGAATACCAATATGCCCACAAACGCAACTGCATACAGAAAACAAAACACTACAGTTTTTGAGTTATAGGGACAATGCACAGAGGGAAAAAAACTGAACACTTTTCTAAAGTAATACAGAACAAGCACAACTAAAATGAATTTACTCTTTTCTGAGACATTGACTCGCATACATCTCACAACTAAAACAGAAATTGCAGTTGATGTTTTAAATTTGTTCAGTTTCCATTGTAAACAATTTCATAACTTACTTTCCTAATTTAATGAGAACTTGTTGTTATGGCTCTCTTAAAATTATGAAGGGCATAAACTGAAGAAAAGCTTATTATTGAAAATGTATTGCAAGAGAGAATCAATTTATAGTGCGAATTTTTATGATCCAACTGCTTAAAATAACATATTACAAATTTGTTTCAAGTTCAATTGATTTCTCACTCATGTAAATTAAATTACCAATAATTTTCAGTTTATTGCTCTAGAAACTGCTGTTCTGACCAGATAAAATGTATTTAATTGATGTAATAGTTAAGCAAAATTAATAACATTCTAAAACATCAAAACATGTTTTTGAAACGTCAAAAAATGTTTTTTATAACAGCTATTAAAATATACAGTTTTACTCTCATTTACTTTCTCGCATACTGTTTGCACAGTATTCCAGAGGAATTACTTCCTTTAACATTTTGTGAATACAGAATCCACGCTTGGCAGATCCTTGCTGCAGAAAAATTGGTTTACAGCAAAACATCTGTCTGTGAGCAGGTTCTTCCCCAAAGAACTGTATGAAGGGTATTCCCTAAAATTGATATTCCTCGATTGATCCGACTGCTATCCTACCCCTTTGAATTTGAAACGGATATTTTCATCTTGGGGGTATTTTACATGAAGTCTCAATGACATTTTCACAATCATATAAAACATAGCTCCAAATTTTATTTAAAATTATCTTCCTAGGTTACAGCAAAACATGTTTAAAGAAATGGTGCAGGTCGCATTTCCATTGAACTCAAAATTATTTAATATTGCAAAAGTTCAAAATTTTTTTGGAGTTTTTCTCCAACAATATTGAAGCTAGAATATTTTTTCTTTATGAAAACTGTTTTTCAAAAACAGATCTTTAAATAAGGTCATGTGCAATTTTCCAAAAATATGAGTAGTTTTTGCAAAATTGAATGTGAAACAGTGGCAATTTTTAAACAATTATTTTCTCAAAAACAGCTCCATATTTTTCATAAAATTTATTCCTTGTGTGTACTAAAGGACAATAAGGAAATGGGGGTGCTGGTCTCATTTTAGTGAACTCTAGGTCTTATCTAGAATTGCACTAAAATAATTAACGTTGCAAAAGTACAGTTGATGATAGACTTCTTTTTTTTCAAATGAAATTGTTCTAAAAAATCAGTTCTTTAAAAATGATCTTGCGAATTGCTAATTTGAATTTCCTTGCTTCATTTGACAAAATATCAGGCAGTTGCAATTTAAAAATGACAACGCTGCGATGTCTCAATGTTCAGTATAATGGTCTGTTTAACTTAACACAGACATGCAGACAGTTTGACACAAACAAAATATTTTGTATATCTATATTTTCTAAGAAACTAACATCAGTATATTCAACGGTTTCATCCATATCATTTATAAATGCTTAAATTTTTTTTTTTTTTTTTTTTTTTTCAGTTTTGGCATTACAGCATATTACAGTGTTGATATATTCATATTTAAAAAATCAAATCACTCCAAAGAAGAAAACATCTTCGCCTGTAGCAAGTCCAGTTCTATTGTAGGTTGTTTATAAGTTCACTGAGAATGTCCTTGGAGTGTAAACCTGGTTAGAATGAAGAATACTTTATTTACTAGGTTTATTCTTCTTTTTATTTCATGGCAATTATCTTGAACCATGAATGTTCATTAGTACAGACTCTTGAAATCAATTTCTAGTGAACTTATAAAAAACCTAAAAATAGAACTGAGCTGTGCTACGAGCAGAGAGATTTTCTTGTCTGGAGTGGTTTTATTTTTTAATTACCAATATATCAACACCATAATATCTTGAAAGTCAATGTTGGAAAACACACACACACACGAACATCAAAAATGAAATGAATTATACAATCACTTAAAAAAAATCACACATGTTTGAAAGATGCATTCTACAAATGTAAACAAAATTTCACACACTTTAATATAAAACCCAATTTTTTTAACTTACTTTATCAAGTCTTCCCTTGATGTAAAAATTTTCACTGTTTTATCAAGGCTGCATTTTGGGTACAAAGCCTTTTCTGTGCCTACAAACTGAATTTCAAATAAATCTTGAGAACCACCTCTAGATTGCTCATTTCTATTAAATTTTAAATTGAACAGAAGGTGAATACGCCGAAATAATCCACGAGGTTCAGTTGATAATATAAAGCAAGTCCCCAAAATATTTTCAATCCTGAAAATAAATTTAAAAAAATGAAATAAAATATCAAATTATATTAGAACAGTTACAATTACAAATGCAATCAGCAACATAAAATTATAACATAATTTATCGCGTCGTTCTCTTCACACAAACTAAAAAAGAAACACTTATTGGTTTTGAGACAGTACTGACTAATAAGTACATATGCCTGAATGTTGTACATTTACGCTTATTCAAAAACATTGAAATAGAAAGCAAAAGCTCTGGGTTATATAAAGTTGTAGAGAGCGTGCAGAGCAGTGACAAATGGGGGGAAAAAATCACTATAAACCACTCCAAAACTGAATGTCATGGAATTGAAAAATTTCATAATATACAGCACATACACAATCACGTCCAAAAGTATGAGAATGCAGAAACCAAGAGGAGAAAAAGGGGAAACAGTAGGAAACAAGGTGAGAGTGAAGGGAAGAATAGGATAAAAACACAATAGATTAGTTAATTTTGCATTAGCACGAAGACCTGCCATTGCTCACATATTTATTTATCACTATATTCTATAAGGAACAATAAAAGGAATGAATTCTATCTACAGTGTAAAAAAAAGGTATTTTCTTTACATTCCGATTGCACCATGCCCTGCTGGGCCCTGCACCTCCCAGTCCCAATTTGCCTGTAGTCCAATCCTTACAAACTCAAAAAGCAGCAATGAATTAAATAAACAAGTTGACCAACTACCATATTTCCCCATGTATAATACTATACTACCACTAATAATAATAATAATAATAATAATAATAATAATAATAATAATAATAATAATAATAATATTTTGATGTAAAGAAATTGCACTTGAATTTTATTCCACACAAAATTCATATGAACTCTTCACTACCGAAATGGGTACAATATCCATTTCTGCATCAACTGTGTCTACCTGAAGAACTGATTCATGTTAATGAAGAAACAAGAACAAAATTTAAACAGCAATAGATTTGCCTGTTTACTTCAACTATTTCAATTTACTTCAAACCTCATGCTTGATTCAAAATGCAGATTGACCCTCTGTAATGTAATGGGGCCCTCTGTAATGCAGATCATGCCAGCCAGCTGTTCTGTACATTCACTCTCCTCAGACTGTTGGGATTCCGGTGAGAATTTCTAGCATCTGTATTTGAAAAATTGAGCTAAACTTTTTCAATTAAAGATGAAATATTACCAATAAAATTTCAAATTAACTTTACAATTTCTTCAAACTTGCAGAGGTGGTCTCTGAGATAAGAGACTAAATTAAATTGCCATGTTTTGACTGAGTTAATACAAATACAATTATAATCACCTTTGCTTCACTACTTCTTCTGATGAAACAACTTGTAGTTGAAAGCCAAGAGTTTTTTGAGACTGACAATAGTTAATCATTTCTTTAGAAAGGCTCTTCTTATTTTGGGCAGACTTTATACCCAACGATTTGCACAAGTCCTTCAGTTCAGCAACCTTCAGCAAGTCAAGCATATCTGGTAAAGTCACATTCTTCATGAACAGTTCACATAAGCTTTTAAAATGACCACGGTAGAGAAGAAACAATTACCTATATTATGTTCAAACACTCATTCAGACATTGTACGAAATACATCAAAGAATCTTGAATGTTTTATATTCCTTTTAAATTATAAACACTAGGGTAGATTTCTTTCTTAAATTGTTAATGTAGAGTAGATTTTTTATCAAAAATATTTTTTCACTTATAAATTATTACACACATTAAATGTAGACAAATTCTTTATTTGAGAATTATTATAGCTGATAATTATTATTAAAAATTATTTATGAAAACAAACTTTTAATTTTTTTATTTTAACACATTTTGATTAATATAAGAAGCAAATGTTTACATGACTGCATGATATTTAACTGTATTGCCAACTGAATGTTTTGAAACAATTTATAAGTAGCGCCCTGATGTTTATCACCTAAAAATGTTCAAAAAATGCAAGCATTTATGACTTAAAAATCACGAAAATAAGATCATATGTAGGACTAAAAAATGCTGATTGTATTTTCAAAACCTTCAAAACCTTTCCACTGTTTAAATAACGATTATATTTACAACATACTTTTAAAATCTAGTACATTCACAGTTCACCCCTTGGCCTTTGGCACCCCCTCAAGACAGTTATACCAGCTTAAGTTATTTTTAGAAGCAAATGCTCAAATGGTCCCTTGTTTTGCTTCTGGACATAAATGTACCTTTATTATTTGTGCATATCTTCTAGAGTTCAGTGGGAAACATAGTTATTCAAATTATTGTTCTCCATGTTACCATGGCAGAAGTATATTCCTTCACAAAGGGCATGATGACGGATAAGAATCAAGCTTTATGTCTGATTTGCCTTTGAAAATTGTTTATATTGCAACAAGCAAATATTTTGTTAACAATTCTTGCCAAAGATATTCTTGCTTCATTTCTTTCTGTATTCAGAATTCAACTTGTTTAGGGTAGGGATCCCAGCATTCAGAAAACATGCACAGAATACACTTCTCCCCATAGCACAACACACAGTTTTTAATTGTTTCTGATGAAAAATAAAAAATAAAATATGCTGTTAACCTTGGCACAAAACTTGACAAAACCAAACCAACACTTCCTTCGCATCTGGTGCTTTCTATGGTTTCCTTCTCCTTCAATATAGCATACCCTCCTAATTCACATACATATTTATAGGAAAGATATTCAATTACAATAATTTTTGTAAGAAATTAGATAAGAATTAGGAGATGTGAAAAATCTCTTGGAGATGACTGCAAGCAAGTATGCAAAAATGGAATCAAAAAGATAAAAATATGACCAAAAATACCATGTTCATGGAAAAATATGACCATAATATGAAAAACGACAAAAGGCTTTAAAAATCAAAAATATGACTGCATATAACATGTGAAATTTGCATTATTTTAGTATTAGTAGATAAAATAATTTTAACTTCATTTTCCATACACAAAGAAAAGAAGAAGAAAAATGTGTCATAAACATCCAGTCCTTAATGATATGTTTTAATATGTAATTAAGTTTCTGTATTTAGATAATATAACTGAGATAAACTAATGGTCCTCTAACCCTACACACTTCCTTGCATTATTTCTAAACTTGCAATTTTCAGAAACTCAAGAGATCAACCCAAATGAAACCTGTGCCATTCTTTTTGGCATCCTTTCTTCTATTTATGAAGAGAAAAGAAGAAGAGGAATAAGAAGAAAGAAGGAAAAGAAGAATATTTAATTTTTATTTATGTTAAAATAATTTTTCAATTTTATTCATTTATGTTGATCTGGCAGAAACATTTATTTTTGTGTTAGTAAAAGTGTGTTTAATGAATTTTTGCTTCAAAACAGTAATTAAAAAGGGCTAAAGCAAAATTGAAGACAATTGATCCAAATCGTCACCACGTGTCAACTCCATATCCATCTAACTTCCTGACAAATGATTTCTACCATTTACCAAACAATATCGGATTTCAAACAACGCATTTAATTTAATCTATCCATTAATGGTATCCAGAAAAATGCAACATCATAGGAGAGACAAGTATCTAACTCAGTAAAATGGATATGAAAGTTAATACTTTTGTAATACATAAAAATAAATTACATTAATATTACTTTGTTAAAGCAATGGGTAAATCTGTTCATGGACACTGCTTCCAGGTTTTACAAAAAACTGCTCAATTAATAATATGTTAATATTCATGACATGTGTTGTGTGTGTGTGTGTGGGGGGGGGCTAAACCATTTGAGACTGCTTAAATACAAGAATTTGGGCTGGTCTGCCTGCAGGGGACCTGCTGGTCACTACGCTTGTGCCAAAGAAGCCAGAATGATTCCCCTCCCCCGCCATAGGGCTGACTAACCACCAGCTCATTACACGTGTGTCCTCTTCTGGTAAGTGATGGGCCAGGGCACCCCTACAAGATCACTAACTTGAGTAGTCTTACTCTAACCAATTATTCTACCCCTGGTCAAAAAGTCAGTGAAAACGCCTTATCAAAACATTCAAAAAAATTTATTTTACAATAATAATCATTTATGGGCAGATTATACTCTATCAAAGTGCAAAAGGTAATTAATGTGAAAAACACACACATATACACATTTCATATTCTATAAAAGTGCAAAAAGGTACTAACATGAAAAAGACACATGTACATACACAACACATGTGCTTGCATGCACACATTCATAAACCTTAATTCCTATTGATTATATGCTTTTACCTTACGTGAATATTAAGACACTCTTAGGCCAACATTTTCTAAGATTCATTCACTCTTCACTAACATTATTTTTTATCGGACTACATGTGCCAAGTATGAAAGCAACTTACCAGTCACAAGGAAGCCTTTCTCTTGTAAAATACACAAATTCTCCACTGTAGCAGTGTCATATTTAATATCAGATTTTCTGTTCCATTTATGTTTTCTATTATGCATTCGAGCATATAAATCTTGACACTCTGAGTTCATATCTAAAAATATCTGAATAATTTCCATTTCATGGTCATTTATGAGATTCCTTGAACTACTATCTTCTAGCACTAAATCAATATGAAGTTTTAATTGCCGGAGGTGATATGCACCAAAAATTTGTGAAAGTACTTGAGAAGAAGTTACAGGTTCTGCCTCATCACCTGTTGGAATTTTATTCCCAGTCTTTTTACAATTTTCAATGGTGCTACTTACTTCGGAGGAAGTATTTGAAAAATTTAATTTCCGTTTAACACCTCTTCCATTAGGTGCATGATTCACTGAAAATGTATTATTCATCGGTGATAAAGATGCCCGATTCCCACTCTTTGGTGATTTATTCAAACTAGAATAAAAATTACGATTTCTTGGACTACTTGCAGGAGAACCATTTATTGAGAACTTATTGGGACGTTTTGAGAGCTGGTAAGACAATTTTATTTGTGGCTGAGTGGGCAATGGGGATGCTCCAGACTGGACTTTTGCACATTCATTCCATCCAGATGTTGAAGGAGGAGCACTGTGTGCTATACTTTTATTCTTTTGGACCAACTCAGGAAATGTTTTAGAATCTTTTGATCCTTCACTTGTGACAGTAGCAGATAAGCTACTGTTAACAAGCATTTTATTGCTATTAGAGTATTGAGGTGTTTCAGATTCATGTTGTTTGGAATTATGAACTTCAACTAGTTTACTCGATCCAGATGTTGAAGATGTACTGTGTACTATGTTCTTATTCTTTTGGATCCATTGCAGCAATTCAGGAGATGATGTTTGACTGTCTTTTGATCCTTCGCTTAGATCAGTTGAAGACGAACAGCTGTTAACAATAATTTTGTTGTTCGGAGAACACTGAGGTGTCTCAGGATATTCTTGTTTGGAATTATGAACTTTAACTACTTCACTCAATTCAGACGTTGAAGAAATAGTGGATACATTGCTATCCTTTTGGACCCATTGCAGCAATTCAGGAGATGTACCATATTTTGACCCTTCTTTTAGATCAGTAGAAGGTAAAGTGCTGTTAAGAAAATTTCTGTTTTTTTGAAGGCACTGAGGTTTTCCAAAAGAATGTAATTTTTCTTTGGAATAATTTACTTGCCCACCTGTTGGAGATTTTAAGGAAGGATCGCTGTATTTACTGAAGTTATTTTGCAAGTGAAAAGGTGACTCAGAAAACTGAGTTGCCAGGGAAGAAGACGATCCTGGACAGTCATCCGAAATTTCTTTAGCAAAAGAATCAATTAAAGTATCTTCATCCTCAAACGTTTTTTCAGGATTTACAGGAGATGCTTTAAATGTTGTTGATTCTGATATTGTCGAATCGGCTTTCTCCTCAGTTAATGTTTTGGAAGGAACAAAATGCCCATTGATACCATCTTTTACAGAATAAAGATGAAGTTTTTTTTTTCCCATTTCATTTCTCGAAGCATACTTCACACTCTTCAATTTTAATTTTGGATGATCTACTTCTATCTGCCTCCGAATTGGTTTCGGAGCATCTTCCGATTTAGTTTTAATTTTTTCAATTCGGCTCTTAAGGTATTCAGAAGTATCGAATTTTATTTTTTGTGCCTTTTCAAGCGATATTTTGGGAATCTCCGAGGCTTTGGAAATATGTGAGAGACATATAACATCTGTTTCTGAAGTATTTTCTACTTTACGATTTTCACTATCATTAGCAACATTTTCAAACACAATTTCCAATTCGTGGTCACTCATGGTGACAAAACAAACATAACCTCAACACAAAACACCACAAATTACTGCACTTCCCATATATACACAAATTATCACCACAATATTGTTTTAATCTTTCCACAAATAACCATTATTGCTCGTAAAAGAAGCTTATTTATCAAAATAATTTAAAAAATATCAAGTACATTCTCTACTCTTTCAACACAAACAAACTAGCAAAAGTTAAATTTAATACAAACGTCGTCACAAAAATGATTCCATCAAAAAATCAATAACAAAAAACGGACTGTATTTACGGTGGTACTGGGGGGGTGGAATGCCTTTAATGACGATAAAACGATAAATGACAGCAGCGACAGCCGCTCCCACCCCACCGTACGCACGCGCCCGCACGTAAGTAGCCTTCGACCTTGCCGCCAGCCACGTACTTTCCCGCCTTTTCACCACACCAGAGTGCAGGCATATACGCTGCCAGCGGCTGCCAGAGCGTATAAAACACGTTATATCACAGCGTTCTATCCAGCGTAATATACTCTCTGGTTCTATCACAGAGCACCCACTTTCTCTTTGTGTATAGACCTGAAGTGATGCTCGCTGGGCACTACCTCAGCCTTCGTTATGTCGTTATGACGAATGCTTTGGCACCACTCATTCCAACAACACATGCATTATAGTAGTCCTTGAGCGTACAATAAAGTAAATATAAAACATGAAAGAAACTTGAAGTTTTATGAAAGTTTCTTCCACCTCGAATAAAAGGTATGTGCCCACTAATGATCTTTGTCACCTTTCAGTATCAATACGAGACCCTGCCTTTTCAGAAGAGAGTTCTCATCAATAAATCTCAGAAAAAATATATTTTCATTTGATAATACAGAGTTAGCCAATGAATATATATTCTCTCAAATCGTTTGAATCATCATTGTTTGATTTTTACTTTCTCGCACGTACTACAACTCTCCTACAACTAAAATATTAAAGATAGAGATTTTTTTATCTTAATAAAATATCTTTCTTAAAGATAAATTTTGAAATAAGGTCAAGTATAATTTTTCGAAAATTTGAGAATTTTTCGCGTTATTTTGAGTAAAATGTAGGCAATGTTTTATTTTGTTTAAACATTTTTGCTCAAAAAGGCTCATCGTTTTTGATGAAATTTTCTTGTTGGATCGTTTGAAGGACGTTTAAGAAAATAGTGGAGCATCGGTTAAAAACTCTGACATTTCGAAAATGGAAAAAATTCCAAATTTGTTCGGCGTCTTCCTACAGTTTTGAAGATACATTTTTTTTCTAAATGAAATGTGTTAATCAAAAACACATCTTCAAATAAGGTCTTTTTCAATTTTTCAAAAACATAAGTTTGTTTTGCGAAATTTTGTGTCTAACATAGACAAATTTTAGTTTCTTTAAACATTTTTTCTTAAAAAACACAGTTTTTTAATTAAATGGGGTCCTTAGGTAGCATAAAGGACGCTTACGAGAGTAGTGCAGGTCTCATGTTCGTTGACATGCGTCATTTTGCGAAAAGTTTTTTACAAATTTGAAAAATCGGCCTCTTCTTACAACTACAATTGTGAAAATATATTTTTTTAAATGAAATGTGATTATCAAAAATATATCTTTAAATACGCGCATGTTGAATTTTTTTAAAATATGAGTATTTTTTAAGTAATTCGGCAACAAAAATAATTGCCCGCTCCGAATTTACTGCGCTTCTAGAACTTAATTCCAGACTTTGATGCTTCGTAAGTTAGAATTTGTATATTAATATTACATATTTCTTTGTTCGTTTTTTACATTCGACCTTTTCTTATACATTTACCCATTAATAGTTTAGAAATTATTTAAAACCTATTAGAAATACATGATATAACTAGTGGTGCTACAGAATGCCACCTACTTTTTAGTATTAGTTTTCTATTTCCATTGGTCTCGGCTAGCTTCTCGGACTTGCCACATACTCTTGTGCCAGCACAAAGTATTTTTTGTTTTTAAATCGCCGTCCAAAGTATGTATTTTTTAAATTATCTTAATTTTTCGGTTTCCTAATAGTAGAACGGAAAAATTATTTTAAGAATATAAAAGAACAGTAAAACATTTTTTATTTGAAAACCTGTATTTTTGAGTCAAATATAGACGAAAAAGAAGATAGTTAAGAACAAGGGTAGGTTCTTTTTGTTTGATTCCGCTAGTGAATGCATCTCATTGAAATCAAAATAAAAGCTCCTTTCAGCTGTTGAATTTGGATTCTCTTCGTTTCTAAATGATAAATCTAAATCATTAAAATTGCTAGACGATTATCCAGCAATGAAAAAAGCGTTTATTCGTTGTAACACTAGTTTATGTTCATCGACACCAGCTGAATGACGGCCTTCCTTTGCAGGTTTTCTATATTTGCCAACTAGGGGTTTATTGTCTGATGATTTCTTTGAAAAATTAGTTGTTTTGAAAGGAAATTACAATTCTTTGTGTTAGACATATTTTTTATATCATTTTATATTTGAAAATGTTTATATATATGGTTACAGTTACAGAAACAGTGCTGACAACAGCATGACTAGTGCAGCATAAATCTTACGCCGAGAGTTTGCGATGAATTTCGCTTCAGATTATTTTTTTATTTAAGATGGCATCAACTTCTAGGTCATTAGCGACCACTTTTGCATATAACGGTGCGGTAACTGTGATGATGACACGATATGATGATAGGGGTGAAAGGATGAACACAATACTACCATGCCCGAGGCGGGACTCGAACCCGCGATTCTTTGGCCCGAGATCGCAATGGCACTACTGACTTAGCGATCTCGGCCACCAGATCGGCATCAAATTTTTTACTTTCCCATAGACATACGTATATACGGAGTAATAGTTTTGTCAACGCTGCGATGGCAACAGTGCGTTGTTCGCTTCTTGGTTAAATTGGACGTTTTCAAGTAATAGCTGTGTTGTTAGTAGCGCAGAAAATGTAATATTGCAATATTATGAAGCTGTTTTTTTTTTGTTTCTTTTTTTTTTCAAAAATATTAGATACTTTTTTTACGTACGGACGGAACCTTTCTTAGTAAAGACGACGCGTTTTCAGATGGGTTTCGCAAATCAAAATCTACGGAAACAGCCATATTTTCTTTTCTTAAAGATGTCGCCTCATCCTTGGATCAAAACGAAGCAACTATTTGAATATTTTTAGATTTGTCAAAACGTTGACGTCATTGATCATAACACTTTACTTACAAAATTACCTTCGTATGGAATTCGTGGTATTGCTCTAGATTGGTGATGTTCGTACCTTAAACAACGATCTCAGAGAGTAGAAATACCTTACTGAAATAATGAAACATTATGTTCACACCTTTCCGATTCTTTGCAATTTGCATGTGGAGTCCCGCAGGGATCGATTTTAGGCCCTATTCTCTTCCTACTATTCGTAAACGATATGTCCTCGACGATTAGAAACGGAAGAACAGTTCTCTTTGTGGATGATACGAATATTCCTTGCAATAAAGAACCCGTAAATAGTACAATGTCAGATATTTCAGTGTAGTTTTCCATTTCAAATTAACAGCTCTGTACTCCAATGAAAATGAACAGTGTGTCATTGACTGATGTTAAAGTAACAACATTGTTAGGTCTTTCAATTCAGTCAAACCTTAAATGGAACGTTCATATAAATGAATTGAACACTAAGTTAAGTTCTTTATGGTATGCTTTCAGAATTCTTTCAAATCAGAATTCTGTCAGCCTTCATACTGCTCTTGTGTATATTTCACGAATGTTCATTCTCGCCGGATATATGGCATAATATTCTGCAGAAATACATCTTATAGCTCCCAGACTTTTAGATTACAAAAAAGAACTGTGCGAATAATAAGCAAATCCCACCCATTTGATTATTGTAGGCCTTTATTTATTAATCGACGTATTTTACCATTACTTCATCTCTTGATATATGGATCAGAAGATTTGTCAAAAATGACTTACTTAAGGGAGGAAATATATTTTTCAGCCAGTGACGATGTCTATAACCACACCACTCGACATCTTGCTACGAAAATTACCTTCTTATGGAATTCGTGGTATCGCCCTAGATTGGATAACGTCGCACCTTAAACATCGATCTCAAAGAGTAGAAATACCGAACTGGCACGAAAGAACATTATTTACTTATCTTTCAAAATCTTTAGCAATTGAATATGGGGTCCCGTAAGGTTCGTCCTTGGTACTATCTTCTTTCTGTTGCCGTCGATATGCCGTCGTCTATTAAAAACGGAAGAATGGTTTTGTTTGCCGATGACACGAATGTTCTTTGCAAAAATGAAACAATAAATAGTGCGATTTTATAAGTTTTAAATTTGTTTTGTAATAACAAATTAATAGGTAACGAAGGAAAAACAGTTTCAATGCATTTTTGCATTTCAAATCAGCAATCGCATGCTCCAATTTAAAATGAACAATATGCAATAGCTGATGTTAGCTGATGATATATATAATATATATATTATTATATATATAAACAAAATGAAAACACTAAATTACATGTTCATTATTTACGCATTCGTGAATTCTTTCAAATTCTGTTATCCTTCATGATAGCTCGTGTGGTATATTTTGTACATTCCTGCCTGACTACATGGTATACAAATCTGGGGAAACTCGTCCATGTATACTAGACTTTACGATAAAAAAAATATTCGAATAATGAAAAAATGCCATCCGCGTTATCCTTGCAAGCCTCTCTTCATTGAGCTTGGAATCTTACCACTGCCTTCCCTATATATTTACAAATCTGTAATATTTTTCAAATGTGATTTATTTAACGGTGGAAACATATTTTCATGCAATACTGATATTTATAATTACAACACACGACGTAAAAATTACGTTCAAGTGTCAGTATCAACAGCACACTATCAGAAATCCACATACATGTACGTTACTTTATAACGTACTGCCAGATGAATTAAACAATTAAAGTCGTTCACAAATTTAAGTTAAAAGTAAAATATTTTCTGCTGCATAACTGTTTCTATACAATTAGAGACTATACTGATTATCAAAAAGAAAACTAATGGTTATTTTAACGAAACAGTGATATATAATGAATTAGTTTACATTTGTATTGTATAATTTTTTAAAAGACTTAATATGTTTGTAGCAAATAATGTACTTCATCTTCCGGGTCAATGACCCCCATCTAGATCAGGTTTTCGTCCAGTTTCCCTGATCCTTTGAGCAAATGCTGAGATGGCCCCTTGTTTTGCTTCTGGTCGTAATTGTAGCTTCACTATGCGCACGTTTTGTTGAACTCTCCTTTTGCTTGTAATGGAGGTTCATAACAAAGAATAATTTTCTACAGTAGTAGAATACAAATCCTGTACGCCATTATTAATGACTTTACTAGGGGAGAAATATATCTGCGGCAAAGATGCAGAATTTCATTCACATTTGACAACTGATTCATTATGATCAAATATGTAGGGATGTAGAACGCGTTAATGCCACAAAACCTACTTATTTTTTTACTCTAGGCGGAAGTTAC